TAGAACTTAATTTTCATGGCTTATTCTATATAGTCATCTACCCAGTCTGCTGTGCATCTTTTTTAAGTACATCATTTAAAATGTGCTACTATGCCTTCGATGATCTGAGCAAAAACAATATCCACTGATTAGGACAATTTTCCAGACATTTCTAGGACTCATTTACGAAAATGAAAATGATGCTAATGGAATACAGAAAATACTGCAACATTTGCATCAGTATGTCCCCAGTTACTCTGACCAAAATAAAGATAAATGTTGTGAACAGGGTGTGGTTGGTGATCAGTTAACAGTTGAGCGCGGTATAAATGCCTTGATGGAAGTATCCAATGGTTTTACACCAAAAGAAAGGAACGAAGGATTACACTTTGAGGCTGCAGATTTTCATGGAGGAATGAAGTTTCTTGAGGTATGTAGAAAATTCTACCATTAGGCCCATACAGTTCATGTACTGGGACAGTTCATGCTGTTAATAACCAATACAACTTCCTATAATTATTTAATGATTGCATGGATTGGCCAAGCTGTTAGAGTCAAAATGAAGCCACTGATGCCATACAGTTTGTGACAGAATTATCAGAGATGTGTTGTATACAAGCATGTGTCTTTGCATTTCATATATCATTGATACAACCAAAGTTAAAAGAGACGACATGGTTAGGAAGGCTGGTAAACTTCAAAGAGGTTCCTAATCAAACTTGAACTGATATCAAAATGTACCTGAAGGTGCATAAATCTTTTTTCTTGCGTTGATTAATATTAAATTCTTGCGGTTGAAGCATTGGAGCCTAAGTTTCTATTGGGCAATCTCTTAATTATACAGAAAAACAATATGTTCACTCACCGTGAAAGTGCATAAACGTGAACAAAAACATAGAACAATGACTTTTATTAAGCTTCCAAACCATGTTTTCTACTAACTATGATACAACATAGAATGACTGTTGAATTAGCTGAGCTATATGTACACATGGTACAGATCATCATTATTGTCACAAGAAATACATTGTAATTTGTCTAGGTTATCTTTAATCACTTTTATCACCCAAGTGCTCCAAATGATCAGTGTACTCTCTACTGTGACCGAAATATGATAAACAGAAGAAATGTCTCAACAGATGTCAGCAAGAACGTGAATGCCACAAAGAAGTTCATAATGCTGGAGGTCGATGCAAGAATTGTAGCTGCCTGTATGACTGAGTTGCACATAAAAGAAGTTGATGGCCAACCAAGTTCAGATATTCTTCCAACCAGCTTATGCACTGCACAAATAGATGAGAGGCAGCAGTTTTTGAAATCTCTTGCTTCCAGAGTGGTTGATAAATACATCCTGGATAGAGAGAAAGTTACTGCTTTATTGGATAAAGTGTGCATTGCTGAAAAAGAAGAAAAAGAAAGAAAAGCAAGCGAAGGTGGTCGATTTAAGTGCCAATTTAAAGGCTGTGGAAAGACCTATCGGTATGATGGTAAAAGGAAAAGAGAGCACGAGAAATCACATGGATTAGCACCGGAGCCAGTCCTGACATATGTTTTCAACGCCAAACCCAAAAAGGATGATATGTTCAGCTACCAATCCTCCTTTCTTGAAATTGGGATCCTGGTCAAAAATTTTTATGATGCCGTCTCTGAAGGTGATGGTTTGCGAGTTGTGCGTTGCTGGAAGTTTATGCTACAGTATCTGAAGGAGGACGGTGCAAGTCGTAGAAAGTATGTTTTAGAAGCCTTGTACCTGCAATGCCAAGTACACTCACTTTTGAGTCCACGTGCTGCTCACCGACTAATCTGGAATAGATTTTTTAAGTCTAAATGTGGTTCGGGCTGCAACATCCCCCTCGATTTGGCTTTAGAGCATTTTAATAAGTTAATCAAGATTTTAATCAGAAACATGGGTGCAAATGGTCTCAACAAGAATGCTGTAAATCGGCACTGTAAAGCTTTGGCCACAAACAAACAGTTGTTGGACAACTTTGATGAAATGTGCAATATTGCAAGAAGATCAGGCCATCATGTTGAACAATCAAGAAGGAATGACCTGATCAAAGTTGTTAAAGGACTCATTGACAATGAAGCATTTGTGTTCACTGATGGTAGAAGTTACAAGCACTTTCATGGAATTGCATCAAGTTTATTAGAAAATTTCAATGTATCGGCAATGTTCCAGTGGATTAACGAGCACAAAAAAAACGTGTTTCTTAGTAGATGTGCACGTTGACAACTAAATGTAATATACATCATACAGGTATAGTACCAATTAGCCAATTCCCAAAGTTGTGGGTATACAGTAGCTGTGCAACTCCATTGTTGAAGGGACAAGAAATGTGGAAACACACATTTACATGTAAATTAAATGTCTAATCTAATGGAAATTATTTAGTTGTTGATCATGAAAAAAAATTGATACTGATGTTAAATGCTTTTAATTTCTCATGTATTTGACATTTCATTTGTCATCATATTTTGTGACCCTCCAAAGAATCCCAGAATGCATTCTGACCTATTTTGGGAAAAGGCTAATAATTAATTCATACATATAATTACAAGAATTTATGTATATAGGGCTCCTTTCCACTAGGTGGATGTTCCACACAGAGCAAAATTCTGAATTTGAATCTGTTTCATGAGCTCTGAAACAGCATGCACTAATTGCAAAAAGGCAAAAGATAATTACACTCTACACAGATAATTCTGCCTAGTGGAAAACAGTCCCTAATTCATGTATATAGCAAACACAGTATAACATAACATTGTGCTGCAGTTTAAGACATGGTTGAAACACTTATAACCGTTTATTCCACTATTTTAAAAGAGCTTTAAATATATTATAATACATGAAATTTACATTACCTAACCATTGCTGATATCCATATCAAGTTTGTGGGCCATAGAATTAAATATTCCACTAATATTTTTACCAAATGTTGAACTCTCTAAGAAACTGGTTTCAAATGAGGTATCCATGTTAGACTGAGATGACATATCAAAATTTGAACTGTATAAGGATGAATCGTCTCTAATATATTCCCACTCTTCAGATACAATTTCCATTTCCTGAAACTCATCTTCAGAAATCTGAACACCTCCATTTAGTTCATTCATATCATTAAACGTTTCAGCAAGTATAACATAGATATTATTTGCATGTACATGCCTCCATATTTCTATTTTGGATAAAATATCCTCAATTGTGAACAACTCATCACAACTTTTCACTACCTGTTCAATTTGGTGGAAACTAAATTCAAACAATGTATTTGGTATTCCAACAGGCATAAATTCCATTACATTTTTTGGAAGCAATGATTTCCTGTATTGAACAAGCTTCTCTTGCAAAATCTGCCTTTGAACATTGTTAACTTCACGTTTTCTTGATGTCTCTAGACTTGACATTTTTTTATCAATCTTGCCAAACACCATTAGATCAACTGGATCAGAGCATTCACAAACACTAGCACAGTTGTCACAACACTGGCAGCTTTCAATAGGCAACTCTTGGTTTGAACCACAAAACAATTTAGAAATAGACTGTCGGCGGCAACATACAGAGTTAATCAATTATTTCATATGTTCATTGCTATGACTAGTTAGAAATCCATTGTGCAAAATATAACAAATAGATTGGGTCCCATCTCTTCCAATTCGGCCGCATTCCTGCACAAGCATTTCAACTGTTTTTGGTGGGCCAAAATGGATACTGCGGTACACATCTTTACAGTTTATCCCCATTCCAAATGCTACAGTACAAACAATAACTCGAAGGTGACTGCCAAATTTGCCCATATTGTCAACTACATGATTCTTGACTGACTCCGGTGTACCTGCATGGTACATTTCCACTAAACGCTTATCAGCTTCATGTCCTTGAGTGGTATACAATAAATTAGCTAGAGCTACAGTAAACATTCTGAAAATTAAGGAACATTGTTTCCTGGTTTGGCAAAAAATAATAGTCCTTTTCGTTTGCTGTTTTTTCAATTTTAGCTCATTAATTAGTTCATCAAAAATTGTCTCAAGGGGAAGATTCTTATCAACATAAATGAAGTGGTAACTGCTATTAATTCTTGTTGGTTCTTTTTCTATGCAAAAGATGTTCTGTTCAGATATGTCCAGCATATCAAATATTGTTCTCTTGGTGCTTTTTGTTGCTGTAGCAGTAAATATAGCATATCTTGTGTTGGGCAACAAAGATTTTAGTTCCACCAACTTTGAATACCATATTCGGAATGGTGCATCATTCAAGGATGTTGACTTCCCCCTACATTAATTGAAGATAAAATGCAATTCAAAATTTGTCTTCTCAATAGTAATGCCTGCTGTTACCCTCCCTAGGGCAACCCCTAGGGGTTTGTAAATCACTGTTTCATAGGGTTCCTACCTCATTATGTGTCTATTGCATTTTGAAGTAATAAATCAATAGTAATGTTTAAATTAACATGTTGTTTATGTCACGGTTAAGGAAATGAGTCATTGCTATTGGTTGGTTGGGCAAAAATACAATAGACACATACATGTATAACATGGTTAATGAGTTGTATTGTACTTCCATCTTGTCTCCAAACCATGTATATTTTCATAAATGTGAGTAGACTAAGAAACACATATAGCTCAGTGGTATAACAATGATTATTTAAAGCACAATTGAACAATAATCAAAATGGCATCTTCATTGTCATGTTTCAAAGGGAAATGAATTAATTGATACTAATCACTGATACGAGATTTTTGCAGCCATGATGAATTCTTACATGGTGAACATGTCCCTTTGTATTATTCAAGTTTGTTATTTCAGGTGCAAGAGTCAAAAAGTTGCAAATTACCAGGGGTTGCATGGGGGGGGGGGTACTACCACAGAGGAGAGATGGATCCATCTCTCCTCTGTGGTACCATGTATTCAAAGAGCAGTGATGCATCCTCAAATACATTATGTATATTGACACATACCAGTGAACCAAACAATGTGCTTCATCAATAACAATCCCGGCACAATACTCTCGAAAATTACTTTAACTGGCAAGCGATCTCCATCTTTTTGAAGCAATAAATGATTCAGGCGAAGTATAAACAATGGAGTACACACAATCTTCAATGTTTTCCAGGACTTGATTATCTTGACCATCATATATTGTTGCCGCGCTAATCCCAAAATTCTCATTTACAGTTTTCACTTGGTCCTTCATTAACGACGTCAATGGTGATATTACCACAACAACACTAGTTCCAATAACATTTTCAGCCATAACATCTGCCAAAATTGGAATTGCCTGAAAGACTAAGGATTTGCCGTAGCCAGTATGCGCACTAAAAAAGATATTTTTTCCTTGAAAGAACTGCCTCAGCGCAGTTTCTTGATCCTTGTAAAACTCTTTTACTTGCAAAAGGTTAGCAGCAATGGCCAGTGCTTCTTGAAATTTATTTTCTTTGAACAACGTTTTGTGGGACTTTTTTGACTCCGGTGGATCCGCCATTTTGAAATTAAATTGAGAATAAATTAACCGTGATCTAAGTTAATTTACCCAAAACCTGAAACGGATGTGACGTAGGCCGGGCAAGATTTTCCTCGTTGATTCGTAGACCCCTTCTGTGATGATGGGTCTACGACGTAGGCTACATGGCGACACAAATAGAGCGAGAGGATTTAGAAGGAGAGTCTTTCGAGAGTGCTATTCATATTGTATGTTGTTTTTTTCAAGTTCAAAGTCTGTACGATGAGCAAAAGAATATTCTAAGAGAGTCTTTCCTTGGAAAGTCAATATTTTTTAGTGCTGGTACAGGCTATTGGAAATCATTAATTTTTCAGGCAGTTCCACTTTTAGCCGATCTGCTAATGGACCAGATGGTAGGAACAAGTATTGGGATCATTATTTGCCCCCTGATATCTCTAATGCTTGACCAAGTAGCATATTTTAAATCACTTGGGTTGAATGCAGCTGCGGTTTATGAAGGACAGGAAGAGACGGTGCTGAAGGATATAGAAGATGGCAACTATGCGTATATTTATTTCTCTCCTGAATCTGTGCTTTCTCTACAACGTTAGCGAAACATGCTTCAGTCATCCCACTTTAAGACTCATTGCGTCGTGGTCGCTGTCGATGAAGCACATTGTTTCAGTCAGTGGTAGGTTTATTTATAGACATGTCATGTAATATTAAAGGTTGTTATTTGCGTTGTCGAATATCATAAAAGTTCTGAGTTGTGCCTTGTTTTGTTAGGGGATTGCCTGGTGTGAATAAACCAGTTCCATTCAGAAAAAGGTACGGCAATCTTGGCCAACTTAGAGATATATTTACAAATGTTAAGCTGATTATGTGCACTGCCACTGCGTCCAAGTACACTAAGAGAAAAATTTTTGAAGTGTTTTCAATAAGTCCTGAAGAAACATGCATTATTGAAATGAGCCCAGAGAGGAAAAATCTGCGTTATGTTGTTCAGTATGTGGACAACTCAATACCAAACAATGATTTGTTTGGCACAATCATCAGTGAGTTGAAAAATGACAAAGACAAGACAAGAAAGACTTGTCAGACACGAAACCAGTGTGCCATATTGTGGAGGATGCTCAAGTTGCAATTGGAGAATGATATCTTTTTAAACTCCTACACCAACAGGATATTTGGTCCAGATGTTTCATGCAGGTACCCCACAGTTGACTAAAAATATGATTCTCGAAAGTGTATCATCTGAAGACAACCATATCAGAGTTGTGATCTGTACCATTGCTTTTGGAATGGGGATAAATTGCAGAGGTGTAGATCGTGTCATTCTTTTTGGGCCATCTACAAATGTTAAATGCTATATGCAAGAGTGTGGAAGAGCGGGGCGAGATGGCAGAGAGAGCACATGTATCTTGCAGCACAATAGATTTCTTGCATCTCATTGTTCTGAAAACATGAAAGATTTTGTGAAATCAGACAGATGCAGATGGAAAAATATGGAACACTTTCCTGGTTCACATGTGGTTGAAGTAAATGGCTGTAAATGTTGTGATGTATGTGCAAAGAAATGCACATGTTCTGGTTTTCCTGGAAAGTGTCGAACAAGTGTCTTCCTTGAAGTTACCAACAAATGTTCTGACAAATACAAATTTAAAAGAAGTCAAACTGTAAGTGACCAACAAAGATTAGAACTGAAAACAAAACTTTTAAACTTTTTGGCAACATATATCAAACCTGTGTTGTATCCAAATGTGTTCTTAGAATTTGGAAAATTCAACATTGGTCAAATCCTTCAAAACTGCCATCAATTGTTTTCAGTGGAGGATGTTTGCAATTGTGTGGAAATTTGGAGAACTGAACATGCAATCAATATTTTGCTTATTCTGTCAGAAGTTTTTAATGATGTTGATGCAAATGAATTGCAGTTTGAGGCTGATGACATAGATGAATACTATGTTGACTCGGAATGGGCAGCTGTTCGAGATGACTCTGACTTTTTTGATGTATCAATGAACGAGTCTAATGTTCTGTAATTAACGAGGCTTTGAATGAGTCCTATCAAACTGACCAAGATGAAGAACACATGGATGTTAGTCAATTTGTAATCGATTTGGCAGACGAAGTTTCACAAAACATGAATGATAATCATTGATTCATCCCTTCAAAGAGTTTGTCTATAACTATATACAGAATACTATATTTCTTTTGAAAGACAACTATATATGTTGTTGCTTTGGATAGAACAACACTATTTAATTTTTTCTGACACGTACTGAATCAAATCTGTTTAAAGGCTATGTTTGTATACATAAAGTTGACCCTTTGAGCAGCAATATGCACCTTCTTCTAACTTTTCCTCACTATGAATATCAACATCAGGGCATAAAATTGACCATGTATCAGGCTCTAATTACCATACTATAGAGTCTACAGTGTAAATGTGTAATAATACAGAGTTTACGGCGGTAGACCAAGTCCTTAGCCACGGCGAAAAAAGATGCATTTGAAATAATTATACATCAAGTGTTCAGTAGATTCGTTATTATTTCTGTTTCTTATTAATTGTTCAAGGTTTCTGTCTTATATTAAATGCAATAATTACTTTACTTGTCGTTTTAACACCAATTTCAAGTCGATTATTGCTATGTAAAAAGCCAAGCCGTTTTTATTCGCTAAAATACCGAAAGAAAACAATTATTGCTTTTGTAGAACTTCGCTTAGGTCTGAATTATCTAAGAACACTTTGCTGCGGTTTTCAAGCGTCTTAGAAATTGCAAAATTTTACCCGTTGCTGGGGACTTGGTTAACGGCCGTATTGTAGGCTGTAATATCTACTACTATATATAATAAAAATTATCTGGCAGTTTTGTGCAGGGTAATTGTTCTCTTATGTTCATTGATTCATTTGAACATGGAGCTCATACTAAAGTTTGACAGCAAGCTTGGTTCCACTCTTGCAAATTTCTTATACTGCCTGTTAGCATGCAACGTAAAGACATCATTCTTAAGTAATTCTGTAACAATTTTCTGCAGGTCACAAGTTGCTGCTTTTCTAACATGATGACCTGCTCTTTTCAGAACTTTGCAGTCCATGTCAAAGTTATCCATAAGTTGTTTTGTTACTCCAATTGCTTTTGCAAAGCAATTAACAGCTTTCTCATTTGAGGCATTAGGACCCATGTTTTTGATCAACTGCTTCAACACTCTGTTGAAATGCTCCAAGGCAGGATCAAGGGGTATATTTCCTCCCATACCACTCTTAGCTTTGACAGAGCGGTTCCAAATAAGTCGATGTGCTTCCCTGGGTGAAAAGAGAGCATAGATTTGGCACATGATATTCAGGCCTTCTAAAGCATATTTGTAGCTTCTCTGATTGTCCACCTTCAGGAACATCAGAAAGAATTTCCAGCATCTGATAATTCTTTGACCATCACCTTCAGACACAGCATCTGAAAAGTTGTGAAATAGCATACCGTATTCAAGAAGAGCATACTGGTCATTTAACATGTCATCTCGTTTAGGTATTTTGTCCACTTGTGCTGTAACTAATTGTTCTTGATGGAGGCCGTGACTTTTCTCGTGGTCTTCCCTAGCCTTGCCATCACGAGCAAAAGACTTTTTGCAACCAGCGTACCGGCAAGGAAAACGACAATTTGGAAGTATTCCAACATCCTTATCTTTCTCTTTTTCCAATTTCTCAACAAGTTCCTTCATTTCTTCTTCACGTAAAACGAACTTGTCAACAACTTTAAAACAAAGTTCCTTTACAAATGTTCTTTGAGTTTCTGGTGAAGCTTCGGCCATTCCATTTGGCAAGATACTTTCTTTGGGAACACGTTCTAGTGACTCGATTTCCAAGACATTTAGTGCTGCAGCAATTATTCGTGCATCAATTTCTAAATTAAAGAACTGTTTGCAAGCGCTAAATTTCTTCTTTACCTCTTGCACAACATTTCGCCTGTTGATGAGTTCTCTGTCGGAAAACAGTGTACATTTGTCTACTTTAGCACTTGGGTCATAAAAGTGATTGAATGCAACCTAAATAATAAAAAAAGGAAACTATCATTAGTGATTAGTTTAACTGCCAATATTTTATACTGATGGCATGAAGTTTTTAAAGAGGTAAGTTTTTGTTATTTTTGTCTCAATAATCAATTAGGCATACAGTATTAAGCATGCATGAAGCATTAACCGTTTTAATTAAGCGTATACGGTATACTGTAGTTCCATTTTTCTGTGGTTATCAGTGTGTTTTGACATACTGCATTAACACAAGTTTTGTACGCGACTGTAATTAGTTTATATATATCGCCGTGTATTGTATATAGCATGCTATTAGTACCTGCAGAAATTTTATTTTTTAATGAAAATCAGCGATTTCTAGGTGTAGGCCTTCCAACCTCTCTTCAGGTGTAATCCCATTTGCAACTTGAAGGAGTTGATTTATTCCCCTTTCCACAGACAACTGATCTCCTACCAAGGCTTGATTGATTGGATACTCCTTCTGTTCACCATGATCAAGACAAGGAACATACTTGTGCACCGCTTCTAAAACACTTTGAATTCCCTCGTTGGTATTTTCGTTGTGGAATAACAAACCAAGGAAAACCTGTAATGCAAATGACATACATGTAACAATTATGAATAATATGACACAAAGTTTGTTGAATGTTTCTCGTTAAATTCTTGAAATTGGAATTTTGTTGCTTTAGTTTTTCAGAATTTTCAACTGATTTCCACTGACTATTTATCTTATCCTGGCTACTAACAGTATCATTATGACCATGACAAAATTCTTTATAATTCTTCAGCTTTCAACAAATACTACTTCAGCTTCATAACCTTAGGGTGATGTTACACAGAACAATTTTCAACATCAATTTGCAACAAAAAATACAGTAATTGCAGAACCAATCATGTTTCATCAGTTAGCCCAAATTTGATTGGAAATTGTCCTGTGTAACATCACCTTTAGAAAATTGTTTGGTTAAATTTTGTATGTAATACTTAAAACTGCTGTACTTTTTGTAATTTTCAAAGGTCAGTACTCCAATATTGGCACACTTACATTTTCTGTTTTTTCATCATTTCTGAAGTGTAAGCATGCATGATGTGTATTGAGGCATATTCTCTCAGAAAATGCAAACATGGTATATTATTCACCAAGATTCTTGAAACAAGTGCACTGTAATTGTCCCTTTGAAGCACATGTTCAATTCTGTTAGGAACAAATTTTGCATTGTCAATATTCAGCAGGCCAGTTCTAGTAGATTTGTCCATCAATAAGTGGTTACCAGATACCCTATTCTCAACAGATATATGACTGACCCAGTGGTTATCTATGTTCTGATGATCTTCCGTCATGTGATGGACTAGCTGCTTAAAGTCAAAATTGTCAAAGACAATCTTCCGACATTTATCTGGAACTGGGCATGTGGTTGGTCTTGCCATTGTACCTTAAAACAATAATAATTTATAAATGTATTTTATGCCTATTTAGTATCCATCATTACATAATTGCACTTACTTCAAACCTATACTTACCAGCATTTATTTGTTTTAGTCTTTCTCCTTCTATAGCCACCTCTGACAGAATAGCTTGATCATGGTTATTCCCATACTCATCCAGTTTCTTGTACAAGTATGTATGAGACACTGCTAGTCGATGTTTTTGGGTAATTTGGGTATATGTCCCTCGACACATCATTTTTCCAAGAGAGCTCAGATCATCTGGTAAAACTTTGGTGTTATGTTTACTGCGCCATGAAACTGATACTTTCACAACAGTTTTAGTTGCATCTTCAGGCTCTGCCAGTGTCTGCGAATGTGGGTTATTATCCGCATCGGAATGGAGTTGTAGCCAAATTCGGGTTGGAGTTGACGTCGTTAGTGGACAGGTTGACAAACTCTGGACTGGATACACATTTGTAATAGGTGATATGGGGATAACTGGAACTGTTGAATTTTGATTGCCATGGTGTTCACTCAGTATAAAGCGTGACTGCTCTGCAGAATTTTTATCATCATATCCCAAACGTTTCACAGATGATTTCAACTTAACCGTAAATCCTTTCTCCTCAGCTTTTTTTCGATAGTTGAACAATAACTTGGTGTTTATTTCATCTATTTTTTTCCGTTGGTTTGATCTCTGTTTAAAATAACCCAAACAGCTTCGACAAATGTATTTGGAGATCGGTCTTATCACAAAATGCAGACTTTCAATTTCTGCTTTAGCGTCAAAATCCCTTTTCCCCTCTACAAGATTGACGTCACCTTTCTTTTCTATCTTGAACAAACAAAGAACGCACTCCTGAGAATTCATGAATATTCAAAGCTTCCAATACAGTCAATACTTTCATAGTGTCGCCATGTTGGCTATGAAGATATTCGCGATTAGCATAAATTATGATAAATTATCATCTATCCTGAATATTTATCAACTGACCAATCACGAGCGTTCCCCCATTTGTGGGGAAATCCACATGATTGAACAAGCTTTTTAACGCTGATGCGTAGACTCACTTATAACTTAAGTTGAGTCTACGCGTAGGCTAGATTTTCAGGGTTGAAGAAATAGGATGATAGCTTTTCCAGTTTGTCTTGAAATTCCTTGTTAGCCATGTTTTCTCTCTCAATAAGTATCAAAATATCTCTACAAATTTCACACTTTTTGTTCGCATATTTTTTGTAAAGGGAATCTTTATCGGACATGCTGTATTGTGTTTTGATTTGTGATTGCTATTTATATATATCCCTTTAATCATAGGAATGTTGAAATTTGAGCTTCCTGTTTCTTGAAGGAAAAATTGAAATTTCCAATTTTTTTTGTAAAAATAATCGGGAGTTTGGATTTTTCCCACAGCGCCGTGATTATATTCAGTCGAATTCGACAGGTAATTTCACACTGCTATATCATTGTTTTTATGTGCGGCTATGTTCGTTAAAATTAGGTAGCTAGATTTCGCATATGAAACTGTACAATAAAATTAGGAAGTGAAATCGTAAATACAAGGAAAATACACGAATAATATGT